TTTTCTTATGAACTCATACAAGATTCATCACTACAATAAGGATATCCAAGACAAATTCTCTCTTTACTCACCTTCCTCCCTCTCTCTCTTCCCACACCTTTTTTTTTAATGACGAGGGAACTCGCAGCCGCTGCCCTTCGAGTACGCACTGGATAAACCCTCGGGCTGACGTAATAGCCCGCAAATCACGCCAACTAGGTAAACTGTACTAGGCAAGCTCGGTGTAACAATCGCTACCCTCTTCTCTTATTGGTGGCAGTTCATTGATATATACATACTCTTCAATACTTGTTCGTCCAACCCATTCATCAAGGGATTAACTCCTCCTTAATGAGAGATGCATCCATAACCACAATCGAGGGTAAAAGAGAGAGTTTAGAATGTCTTAACATCAATGTTTGGTTAGGAATTTCATCTAGCTCTTCATTATCCTTATCCCAAACATGACCAATCTTTGCACTTTTGGTCTACCTTTGAATATATTGAGTTGATAATTGCAATATTTGTTTGATCCTAAAATACGCCATATGTCTACATGGTGCTTAACTAAGCATGGCGCTTAGTAGATCGGCACTATATATATATATCATACTCTAAAATTATCCCTATTAAAATTTTAAAATGATAAAATTTCATCCTCAGCACATTTCAATATTACCTTTATTAAATTCATTTATTTAAACTCTATATATCTACACCACTTTTATATATACATCTCACTCTAACTCAATCAATTTTAAAATTTAAAATAAAATAAAAAAACACTATATTCGTCCTTGTTACATATAATGTCAACTTTCTCATAGTTCAATAATTAATTCTATAGACCAAAAATTATAAAATGTGATTTCATAAACCATAAACTCCTATGATCACTACCACCCTCAAATGACCTATATTCTATTATTCCTTTTTAAAATCAAAAATAATAATTTGAAAGAACTCGAATAAATTATTTCTATAGACCAAAAATTATATGATGGGATTTCATAAACCATAAACGCCTATAATCACTATCACCCTCAATATGACATAAATTCTAGTATTTTATTGAAGTCAAAAATAATAATTCAAAAGAACTCAAGTAAATTGGAGGGCATCAATAAGCATTGTCAAATGCCACAATAGCTTCGAAGGCTTTTGAATTTTGCTAGTAATTAGTATAGCCAACATTGATTTTCATTACATCATAATTCTTTCATATTTTCTGTCGGTCCCATTAATTGAATTATACAAATAAGAAAATTATTTTCTTGTTTTGATAATCCCAATAGATAAGATAGCTAACATTGTTTTAAATTCAGGAAAAATAAGAAAAGAAAAGATAATTTTGGCAGAAAACTCAAATTTTTGTTTTGACAATCCTAGTGGAAAAGATAATCATCAATGTTTTCAATTCAGAAGAAAAAAAAAAGGGATAATTTGAGCAGAAAACTCAAATTATTTGGAATGAAACTTCTTGCACATTCTTCTTGGATTCAAACGGCACATTACATATAAACTAAAATAGAGATCAAGAATATTTCGCCTACTAAATTTATCAAACACACAATAAAAGGTAATACTTACATTTTTCAAATTCTTCTTAGTATATAACTATGTCTCAATGTATCTGCTCTAATTTTGTCTCTTTCATTATTGTTTTGGTTTTAGTTTAAGATCTTCTATGAGTATTAGGATTGCAGTTAACCATAGAATCTAAAAGAATATAAAAATGTCCAAAGGAATCTAATGAAAATAAATATTAATGGATGAATTTAGAGTTATAGAATTTTATTTTATTTTTATCTATTAAAGTAAATTTACATAAAGTTAAAAATGTAATATTTTCTTTTTAAAGTGAATAGATATATAAGAATATCTCAAAGAGATTTTCTATTCTTAAAGATCATATTTTATAATTTTAAGAGCATTTTTAAATTTCAAGAGTTAAAATTTTTAAGTACTCCAACAAATTCTTTATAATTATCATTTAATCTTACTATTTTCAAAAAGTATTTATTGCTTGTTTGTGCCTCATTGTTTGTGAGTAATGTATTATGGTATAGTGATTGATGTTGAAATGTGTGGTTAAAATTTTTTTTTATTTACGTATAATACTATTTTAATAAAGAAGGTGATTGAAAATGAGTACTGTAAAAAAAAATAATAGCGTAGAATGTGGAAAAATAGTATACAAACAAAGCCTTATTGTTTTCACCATCTTTTATTTTCTTTAGCTTCCATTCAAATTATTTTATTATTTTTATTGAAAAGTGAAATACTTTAAATGCATTCAATTATAGAGAATGGGTTTTACTTTATAAATTTGAAAAGTCAAACTCACTATCTATTTTAAAAAGTTAATTTCAAAAGTCTATAGGAGCATAATTTTAAGAATTGACCATTTAAAATAGTGATTATTTATATTTAAAAGCCTCTCAGATATGCTTTAAGAATGGTGCATGTAAATATTGACTCCTTAAAATATTTTTAGGTATTGCCAGTACTTATCAACCATTTAAATTAATGAGTTATTGGTGCAATATTTTTATCGTATGGACATGCCAAATATCCCATTCATTTTCAATTTGGTTGAAAAATCCCTTTATGACCTTTGAGGCGTAAAAGACCCTTTTTTTTCCTTTCATTTTCTTAATAAAAGCTCTGTGAAATAATAAATATACTCTCTTATTTAAATAAAACAAAAGGAAAAGAAGAAAAATTAATTAATTAATTTCAACTACAGTCACAAAATTTTCAATAAATAAATAAACGACTTCAAAATAATAAATTAATAATTAAATTTAAAATAAAAAATAAATCCCCGTCTTTCCCTGCTCACCACAGATCATGATTCTTGAATTGCGCTTGATAGAGAATAAATGCTCTATTTGACCCATATTCTTTTAAAAATATATATATTCTTCAATAGTGATTAGATATAATTTCAATCACATATTTTTAATAAAATAATATTACGGTCCCATTTGGTATCCATTTTTTTTAAAATGTATTTTTCTTTCTCTTCTTTTCAACCACACATTTCTCATCAATTTACTATTCAAAAATACATTTTTACATAAAAATATCTCCCAAACACCCCCTACATGTAAATTCAAAACTTTCTTTATTTTTTAACTATATATTTCTCATCAATACACCATTAAAAAATGCAGACAAAGTAAAAATGCACTTTACAATGATTATATGACATCAATTTTATTATAATGGACTAGTAGAGAGGTGTAGAAACCGGATGAATCCAAAATTTGTACACGGAAATGATTAAGCCTCTATTTGATAATCGTTATTTGAATTTATTTATTTTTTACATACTTATTTTTAACTATATATTTATATAATAAAATATTATGTACATAAATTCAAAAAAAAAAATTCTACTTTTTAACCAAAAAATCACCTAAAAATATTATTCAAAAACTTTGTTTTTTTCAAAATAATGATAGTCAAAGATAGGCTAAAAATAATCAGAGCACGTCTGATCTGGCTTTTTTTTTCCCTCCAAAATTGGGATTTTTTTTTTTTTTTTTCCAAATTGGTGGGCCAATGAAACATGAAATTTTGTTTATAGACTAATAATAGCAAGTTGAATTTTGTACCTCCTATCCCATCGAAACTGGTCTACATGCCGAATTTACCCAAAATGTGAATCGTGGCCATTTTCAATTGGCTATTGGTATTCTGACTCTAAAAATTTATGGCCAAAATTGAAAATGGAAATTTAAGTCTTTTTTTTTTATGATTATATGAATACAATTCAATAAAGTCAGATCAAAATCTGATTTTAATAAATACCAAACATGTGCTTAGATATATTGACATATTCCTTTTACAATATAATCTAAGGAAAAATATACTTCGAGCACCTAACGTTAATAAAGATTTGATTTAACACTGTTAAGATTCTGTTTGGGAGTGATTTTGAGAATTAATTTTTTGATTGTTAGGAAAAAAGTGAGATCCACCTGTGAGAGAAGAAGTCAAATATGACAACTGAAATAGTGAAATAACGGTCAAAAAATCAATTTTTTGGGAAAAAAATCGCTCCCAAACAGGTCCTAAGTATTTTGGTAATTGATTTTTTCTGTTTGTAGATTATTATTATTATTTTTTTTTTTTTTGAAATTAAAGTTGAGACCGACTAAATTAATAGGACCATTTCCCACGGAATGATATAGCTTAGTCAATAATAATTGAAACATCATATTTGAAAAGACAAGTAAGTCTCCACGTGTTTCTTGCATCCTAGAGTTGAAATTCAAACCAATTTATTCTTATTCCTCCCCTTCTGTCTTATTAATTAATTAATCAACTTACATAATTTGTCAACTGTATATTTCAATAAAATGTAAAGCAATTACAGTTATATAATCGTAAAAAAGTTGGCCTAGTAGATAAAGATCCTCATTTGCACTCTAAACTATAGGTCCGTTTGAGTTACATTAATATAAGAACGAGAATGAAAAATATAATCGTTACGGACCCACACAGAGATAAATTTCAAAATATGGTGGTTTGATGTGATTGATAACGATCATATTTTTCATTTTAATGAGTAAATAATGAGAAACAAATAGAGGCTATAACTATCCTTCATAAACCAATAACCTAAAATATGTTAAATCTATTTATTGTGGCCAAAACTTTGTCAATCTATCCTTTTACACTTAATTTTCTGTATTTGACCGATCGTCAAAGTGCATAAAATTATTGTACCTCCACTGGAGCAATGATCTTGCATTATAACCTTGTGTTAAGTGTGCAGATGACTTAGTGTCGGAGTTTTATCGATTCAAAGGATCAAATTTTGAGGTCAACATGATCAGTTATTCAAGAAATAAACAAAGACGACTAGCTATTGTTAAATACTTATAATTATTATACACATAATAAGCAAAAAGAAATAGTAATTATGGAAAAATAAAGGAGAAATCCAGACAAAAATCATGCAGGCATCTATTGTATTTTATTTTTATTAGAAATTATTAAAACTCATCATCTGCTATTATCTACCTTAGGCTCCTCTAAATATTCTTTGAAGGATTGCTCAACACGACCAATCTCTCTCTCTCTCTCTGCAAAGGAATTCCATTTCTTTTGATTCAATTTGAAAGAAGTGGAATATCCAGAAAGGAATTTCTTCTGATTCAATTTGAAAGGGTGGAATAAATTAAAAAAAAAAAAGAAAAAAAAAAAAAAGAAAGGAAGAGAAGGAGTATCGCAGAGACAAACCAAAGAAAGGTTGAGCACGTCCTCTATTCCCATTTTTGGATATTCATCTTCTTAGATCTTAGCTTCATTCAATTTTTGCCTTCTTGGCTTCCCTTTAATGGTGGGTCTTCCAAAGTTATTATTATTATTATTTTTCCTTCAATAGAAATCCGATCTTTATATTTCTTTATCAATTTTCCTTTGGGTATGTCTGATCTACCTGAATTATGGATTTTCAGGATTGTAAGATTGAAGCTTGAATGTGGAAAGAAGGATCGAATGAATTCAAACTAAATCCAGCATTTCCCATAATCACTGTCTTATTGGTTCCTGCTTGATTTTTCTGTATAGGGTATTATACATTCTTGTTCAATTGCATTTTATCTATACTTGGATCTGTTAGATTTATCTTTTATTGATTGGTATTCTGGATTTTTTTGGATGTATTTACATTATGCAATAATCAGCTTCAACCTCAACGATTCAAGTTATTTATGGTTATTATCTCATTCTTGAAATGTGTAGAAGTCATCTTCTCATTCTTGAATTGATCTACACATTTCACAAGACCGGTGATTCTTCGCTGTTCGACTGACTTCCTTTTGTAAACAAATTTTGTTGTCAATTTGACTAAGTTTATTTTCTTTTACGTTGTTTCCCTTTATAAATTGTTATCCTTGATAGAACGTTATTGAATATTTTATCAACTGAAAATGGAATTGTAGAAACATGGAGTCAGATCAAGGTAAACTATTTATTGGCGGGATTTCCTGGAACACAGATGAGGATCGTCTTAAAGAATATTTTGGTGCATACGGAGAAGTCATACAGGCAGTGATCATGAAAGATCGTATCACTGGCCGTGCTCGTGGCTTTGGTTTTGTGGTCTTTGCTGACCCTGCAGTTGCTCAAAGAGTGGTTAAGGAAAAGCATACCATTGATGGACGAACCGTGAGTAGTTTGGTTGAACATATCATTTATAGATTACAATATTTTGAAAATGTATCAATGCTGTTTGTGTATTGTTAAAGCATATGCAGCTTCTTGTAACTGCAAATAGATAATAAGAAACTTTTGCCTTTCCAGGATTTCCTAGCTCCAAGATTTGATTTTTAGATGGACAACTGTATATTTTCTGGATTATTTTACTCCCATTTGCCTTTCAGGTGGAAGCAAAAAAAGCTGTTCCAAGGGATGATCAACACTTGGTAAATAGAAACAGTAGTAGCACTCAAGAATCACCAGGTTCTGGACGAACTAAAAAGATTTTTGTAGGAGGCCTAGCATCGACCGTAACTGAAAGTGACTTTAAAAATTACTTTGATCAATTTGGTACCATAGTGGATGTTGTAGTGATGTATGACCACAACACTCAAAGGCCAAGAGGTTTCGGATTTATAACATATGATTCCGAGGATGCAGTGGATAGAGCATTGCACAAGAATTTTCATGAACTCAATGGTAAGATGATTGAGGTAAAGAGGGCTGTACCGAAAGAATTTTCTCCGGGGCCCAACCGAAGTGCCCTTGTTGGGTACAATTACGGTTTAAATAGAGCCAACAACTTACTGAATAGCTTTTCCCCGGGATATAATCTGAACTCTCTTGGAGCCTATGGTGTTGGGGTGGATGGGAGGTATAATCCACTTGCTAGTTCTCGTTCCGGGTTTTCACTTTTAGGTTCTCGTGCATATGGAATGGGCGTCAATATGGATCAAGGATTGAATGCTGTGCTTGGAGGGGGTTCAAACTTCAGCAGAAATCTTGGTTACGGGCACATTCTAAACCCCTATTTTGGTAATAATCAAAGCAGGTACAATGTTCCCATTGGTTATAGCACAGGTAGTAGTCGAGGTGATTCCACTTACAATATGTCATCCAGAAATTTGTGGGGAAATAGTGCCCTTAATACTTCTACAACTAATGGTAGCTCTGGTTCATACTTTGGTTCGGGAAGTGGCGGCTTTGGAGTCTTTGGAAATAATGGTGCAAACTGGGGAACTGCTCATATTGCTGCGTCACTTGGGGGGAGTTCTTCTGGCTTCTCTGATGGGAATGTTGGCTATAGAGGTGGAGAAAACAGTTATGCAATTGGAACTGGAGGATATGGGAGGAACAGTGGCACAGTTGTGCCCACAGCATCTTCATTTGCCACATCTAGTGGAAATTACGAAGGATCTTACGGAGATTTTTACCGTAGTGGATCAGTGCACGGGGATCCAACATGGCAAACAATGTCTTCTGAGCTAGAAAATTCGGGTTCATTTCGTTATGGACTGGGAAATTCAGAAGATGTCTCTGTCAATGATTCTGATGATTTTGGGGTTGGCTATAATATTGCAAGTAGACAATCCACTAAAGGTAAAAACTGTTTGTCCTATTATGCAATATTTCATGCTATAGTTGCAAACATACTTCTTAACACTATAAAACTTGTACTGCTCTATAAAAAGTATTTTGGATTTTTTGTTAATGCGAATCTTCGTCTAGAGCTGTTAAATCTGAGAATAAATCACACAATAACAATTTTGTAAAATAATCATACTTTAAAATTAGAATTTATATGTCCAAGTATTGCTCTAAAGTATCAATGTTCACAGAAAATGAAATTACTCTTATATCATTAAGTCGTGAAACAGATATTAAATTGGAAAATTAGTTCTCTTCTGCATTGTCATCATTTGATAACCACAAATATCTTTGCTAACCTGCTTGTTCATACTTCTGTTGAGCACTGTAAACTTTTATAATCTAGGAGTAATGTTCTGCATATGGGTGTGATAAGATATTATATGGTGCAATCATTTGAATCAATTAACTACCTAATCAATGTTTGAATCACATATCAAGAAGGTCCTTTCAGAATCTGAAAATTTGTAGGTCAGAAAAAATGATACCTTTTACTCCCCATAAAGAATGTTATCTAAATAGATTGTATGATGAAGACAATTATGTGCCCTTAGGATTTGCATTACGTGCTAGGAGGAATTTCATTAGATGATAATGTAAAAAGACATCAGTGGTAATTTTTGCTGTTAAATAGAATTCTTTGAAAATTGAAGCCTTGATAGCATTTGAGTTTTCATTCAATTGAAGAAAATATAAAAAATTGCCTGGAATTGATAAATGAAATCCAACAAGTTCTTAGTTACTGTTATATGTAAAATATATTTATTGTAACTAGAAAATCAGTAGTCTTCCACTCCTTTTTTCATTTTTCCTACTGTTTTGGGAAGGGATTTTTTTCATTTCCTTTTCCTTGTACCATTGAGAAAGTTATTTTATCGTAACAAATGGATGGCATATCCTTCCTCAGAATGGTGTTTAGGTGAGGCTGACACTTCATTTTTCCTCGTCTGTGCATTTTAGGACAATGCAGTGTGCATCCCAGTTTGAGAGATTTTTTACGATGTAATGTTCCAATTAGTCTTATGATGATTCTGCAGATCTACATAGGTTCAGTAATTGAAATGGTAAATAAATAATACATCTGAATTCATTTTGATGATTTTTCTCAATGACTTTCTACAGGAATTGCTGCATAGGAAGCATCAGAATTTAAATAGCTACAGATAATTTGGAGAAGAGGCTTCAGAAAACACTTGGATTGTGAACTTCGTATGTAGCCCTCATATATATACATACCTCAGCATATAATGATGTCATTACACGCAGCAAACAGGGGTTGGTTCAGAGTAGATGCTTTCACAGAGAGCGGTGTCTAATGATGTCGTGAAGATTTTAGGTTTAATTTCTATAAATTACCCAGGTTCTTTTGTCAATTTAGACTGAGATGTAAATCAGATTGCGGGATACACTTTGGAGAATCCATTCTAGTTAATTTGTTGTGCTCCTCTTCAACAAGATAGTACCACTGGTAAAGCATAAAAAAGATGGAGAATTCTTTTTTGTATTCTTTTTCTTGTTTACTTTTCGCCAACTTTGATTAGTGGCGAACTTTTGATTTTATATTTTTCTAGGATTTGCATTTTAATCAAATTGTATGTGAGGTTGAGTTCGATTTGTTAGTGTGTAATAGGAGAGAGCTGGCCATCTAGGCTTCTGTTCAGCGAACGATTCATTAATTTACAGGTGGTTCTGTATTTGACGAGTTTAAAACTTCATTTCTGTATGGAAACATATAATATGTTCGGTTTTCTATTTCGTTGTCCAGCTCCTTTTATTATACCTATTTATTTCTGTCTTTTGCTGATATTGTGTTCCTAGAATTCTTGGAATGAATATGTACTTGTTAAAATAAAATACTAGTTGTTTCTATACTGTTGGTAGAGACTTGATTTATTTTCTCTCTTGCTCTCTTCTATTAGGAATTCCACCAGTCGACAGGATACTAGGCTTTTTAAATGAATTTTTCCATGGTAATAATGCTAGCTAAAGTTCATCTGTGCAGATATTGTCTTATTTGATTTTTTTTTTTTGTCCCCTTCATTGTGTGCACATTCTTAATCATGTTCAGTATTCTTGAGTCTACTTTCTGCAAGATTATCGAGGATGGCTCTTTACACGGTTACGACAAATATCTAAAGACATCTTTAATCAAATATGACGGTACTATCTTTTAGATGATATGAAATCTCTATTTGATGCTGTTCTTTAAAACTTATTTTTTAAAATTTATTTTCAACCAAGCACTTTTTTAATAAAATAATTTTGCACGTGGACTCATTACTTGTTTGTGCTTTTTATCACAAGTTCTTCGTATACACATTTTTCAAAAAATTTACATCAAACAAGCGTAAAGAAAATTTGCAACTTTCCTTTACCTTGTTCTCCGCATTCTTCGGATTCTTTATTTTCCCAATGGGAAAAGAAGAAGAAAAGAGTCCACTGACAGCTCCCAACAGCTTAAAAGTTGAAAAAAGTGAATTATTTGCTGCTCTCATTTTTATCTTTTTGCTGTGGGAATTCTCCCAATGTGATAATGACCTCAACGTACATCACAGAACTTCATTGGAAATATATTAGAGGTGTAAATCAAATCGTGTCAATTAGCCACTCGATCCATTCGTTGCCCGGTACTGACCGACCCAAAAAATGGTCCATACCGAGCTAGAATTAGAACCAATTTTGAACCAAGATAGACTGGTATATGTCTATTACAAAAGGAGAGAACTATAAAAAGTATAAACTGAAAACCTAAACAGTGTTAGCTCCAAAATTTTCCTTCGAATAGAAGTAGAGAATCAAGACTCTTTATAATGGAAGCTTTAGTCAATGTGAAGCTAGAAAAACTTATTTTTAACATTGCTAAATGGTAAATACATCGCACATGGGCATAAAACAGTCAAATCCACCGAAAGAAATCATGATTACATCAAATTGTTGATATGCAAACAGTTCATCATATTATGGCTATATAACCGATGAACAGCTGAGATGAAATCATTTTTCTTGATGATCTTCTATTGATCACAAACAGTCTCAAACAATGGCATCAAACCAAAACCTAAAAGATCTTCAATGGGTTCTGCACGTGACGAAATCCGGCAGTCTCGACCTGCACAGTGTCTCCTTCTTCCTTTCCCAACCAAGTTCGGGTTGTCACCAAGAAACAGAAAAGTCCCTGAATGTAAATATTTCAGAAGATAGTCGTCAGCACTTCTCTCAGCTTCTGAAAGTTTTAGGAACAGCTGGCGGCAGCCGGTCTTCATTGAAGAACTTGGAGTTCCACCAGGTCGAATGGGAGCTTCAACAAGTTAAAGATCTCCGGTTGCTGCTCGAAAACAGCTCGAGCATCAGGCAACTAGTGTTTCAAAGAAACAAGTTTGATATAGTGTGTTTATCAGAGCTAACAGATACTTTGAGGACGAATAAATGGATTAAGGAAATCATCCTATCTGAGTCAGGTATTGGTTCGGATGGAGCTGAACTCGTTGCTTCAGCTCTTAAGGAAAACGGTAACTTGGAAGAGTTGCAAATATGGGAAGACTCAATTGGGTCGAAAGGCGCAGAAGAACTATCTAAAATGATTGAAGCAAACTCGACTCTGAAGATGTTGACGATTTTCGACTCCAAGTCAATTACAGCAACACCTTTAATTTCAGCTGTTTTGGCTAGGAATCGATCTATGGAGGTTCATGTCTGGAGTGCAGATCACAACAAGAAAAGTTCCAAGGTGGTTGAATTCGTACCTGAGAATAACACACTTAGGATATACCATCTTGATATTTCAGGAGCATGCCGAGTTGCTTGTGCGTTGGGGTGGAATTCAACCGTAAGGTCCCTTGACATGACCGGAGTCAAGCTGAAGTCGCGCTGGGCAAAGGAATTTCGTTGGGTACTAGAACAGAACCGAAGCCTTAGAGAGGTGAATTTGTCTAAAACTTGCCTAAAAGACAAAGGAGTTGTTTATGTTGCAGCAGGGCTGTTTAAGAATCAGAGTTTGCAAAGCTTGTACCTTGATGGAAACTGGTTTGGAGGAACAGGCGTAGAACATTTACTCTGCCCTTTGAGCAGGTTCTCTGCTTTGCAAAATCAAGCAAATGTGACTTTAAAGTCGGTAACTTTTGGGGGACGGAAAAACAAGATAGGAAGGGACGGACTAGCAGCGATTCTACAGATGCTGACTTCCAATCAGAGTGTAACTCGCTTTGGAATATATGATGATGAGAGTTTGAATCCAGACGATATGGTGAAAATCTTCAAGAGCTTGGAGAGGAACGCATCCTTAAGATGCTTATCTTTACAAGGTTGCAAAGGTGTGAAGGGTGAGGCCGTGCTGCAAAGTATAATGGAGACATTAAATGTGAATCCTTGGATTGAAGATATTGATCTTGTGCGAACGCCACTGCAGATTGCTGGGAAGACAGAAGGAATATATCAGAGGTTGGGCCAGAAAGAGAGGTCAGAACCAGAACCAGATATTGATTTGCTCAAGGACATGACAATGACAGTGCCCAAGACTTGCCGAGTCTTCCTGTGTGGTCAAGAATTTTCTGGTATGCTCACTGCAATATTGAAGACCCTGATCTTCTTGAATGAAAATGTGATCAATATGCAATAATCTGGTTTGATGTGCAGGTAAAACTACACTATGCAATTCCATATCTCAGAACTTTTCGCCTTCAAAGCTTCCATACATGAATCAAGTAAGAACTCTGGTGAATCCTGTTGAGCAAGCTGTCAGAACAGTGGGAATGAAAATAAAGACTTTTAAAGATGAAGACACGAAGATCTCGATATGGAATCTTGCCGGGCAGCAAGAGTTCTATTCGCTGCATGATATCATGTTTCCGGGGCATGGCAGTGCCTCCTTCTTCCTGATAGTATCGAGTTTATATAGGAAGCCGAACAATAAAGAACCAAAGACGCCCAGTGAGATAGAAGAAGATCTCAAATACTGGCTCAGGTTTATTGTTTCCAACTCAAGACGAGCAGTGCAGCAATGTATGCTGCCTAATGTCACTATGGTGCTCACACACTATGACAAGATCAACCAACCATCTGATAACTTACAAGCTACTGTAAGTTCAATTGAAAGAGTAAGAGAACATTTTCAAGGTTTTGTTGAATTCTATCCCACTGTGTTTACTGTTGATGCAAGATCAACTGCATCTGTGAGTAAACTCAGTCATCATCTCCGAAAGACAAGCAAAACGGTTCTTGAAAGAGTTCCACGGGTTTATCAGCTTTGCAATGATCTCGTAAAAATTTTATCAGATTGGCGACTAGAAAACCGCAACAAGCCAGCAATGAAGTGGAACGAGTTTGGGGAGCTATGCCAAGTGAAGATTCCATCCCTAAGAATTCGCTCAAGACACGATAATAAGGAGAAGATGGAGATGAGGAGGAGGGCAGTTGCCACCTGTCTTCATCATATAGGTGAGGTGATTTATTTTGATAAATTGGGGTTCTTAATCTTGGACTGCGAGTGGTTTTGTGGGGAGGTACTTGGTCTGCTAACAAGAATAGATGTCAAAAGACAAAGTTCAACTGAAAAAAGTGGATTCATAAGCAGAAAAGAGTTAGAAAAGGGTATAGCTGGAAGTTTGCACAGTCACATCCCTGGAATGGGCTCAAACGTTTTTGAGAACCTAGACGCCAGCGACCTTGTAAAAATGATGCTGAAACTGGAACTCTGTTATGAGCAAGATCCATCGGACCCCAATTCACCTCTACTAATCACCTCCAATCTAGAAGAAGGCAGGTGGAAAGCTCAGAGGTGGCAGGTGAACACTTCTGATTGCATTTACGTAGGGAGACATCTTCACTTGGATGATTCGAGCCACATGTTTCTCACGCCAGGCTTCTTTCCCCGCTTACAGGCAAGTCCCTTTTTATACTTCTTGCCAATTATCTCCTGTAGCTGACTTTTGATGAGATGGTTCAAATTCTTGAGTTCTTAAGTTGGAGTTTTGCTGACATCCAGGTACACTTGCACAACAAAATCATGGGGTTAAAGAATCAACATGGAGCATCATACAGCCTTGAGAAGTATCTGATCTCTATAAGCATAAATGGCATCTACATTCGCATAGAGCTTGGTGGACAACTGGGTTATTACATTGATGTACTTGCATGCTCCACCAAAAACCTAACGGAAACTCTTAGACTCTTCCAGCAGCTCATAATCCCTGCAATCCAGAGCCTCTGTCATGGGATTGCTCTGATTGAAAATGTCCTTCGTCCAGAATGTGTTAAAAATCTAACACCCCCCAGATACAGGAAAAATCAATATGTTTCTCTGCAGCAACTGAAACAAGCGCTGCTCTCAGTTCCTGCAGACGGCATGTATGATTATCAGCACACTTGGGAACCATTGATGGATTCTGGCAGCCCTGTTCCAGGATCTGATTTTGATTTTGCTAGGAATTTGTTATCAGATGATGACTTCCGAGAAGTACTTCACTGTAGGTACCATGATCTGCATAACCTTGCTGTAGAACTTCAAGTTCCATTGGAAAGTGATTCAGAGCATCCTTCAACTAGCAGTGAAGAAATAGATGGTTCGATTGAGCCAACATTTGCTGGGATAGCCAAGGGCGTTGAAACAGTTCTGCAGAGACTAAAGATCATTGAACAAGAAATCAGAGATATAAAGCAGGAAATTCAAGGTCTGAGATATTACGAATACAGGCTTTTGATTGAACTTCATAACAAAGTGAACTACCTCGTGAACTTCAAGGTTCAACTTGAAGAAAGAAAAGTACCAAATATGTTCTATTTTGTCAGAACTGAGAACTACTCAAGGAGATTAGTCACCACCATGATTTCAGGCATGACTGCACTCCGGCTGCATGTTCTATGTGAGTTTCGACGAGAAATGCACGTGGTTGAAGATCAGGCTGGTTGTGAACTAATGCAAGTGGATAATGTCACAGTGAAATGCCTTGCTCCATACATGAAAAAGTTCATGAAACTTATAACATTTGCCCTAAAGATTGGAGCCCATTTAGCAGCAGGGATGGGAGAAATGATACCTGATCTTGGCAAGGAGGTGGCACATCTGGTTGATTCTCCCACTCTTTATGGGGCAGCCGGTGCAGCTGCTGCTGGGGCTGTGGGGGTTGCTGCATTTGGAAACAGGAACAGAAGCAAGTCGAGGGACATTCAACAAGATCTTAAAGTGGCCCAGCAATGGATGGTGGACTTTTTAAGGGACCGGAGGTGTTCAACTGGAAAAGATATTGCGGAGAAGTTTGGGCTATGGCGAGTCAGATACAGGGATGATGGCCAGATTGCATGGGTTTGCAGGAGGCATATGTACACAAGATCAAATGAAATAATTGAAGTACCAACCTAAAGTGTCTATTCGTAAATAGTGAAACATTTAGATTTAGTCCTAGTTTCTCGTAGTTTGGACTTTCGAAAATGCAATTTCACAAGGTTAGAACCTTTATTGTTAGCTATCATCTTTTATGCTACAAGACAAGATCACGTTCCTCGATAATAATCTAAAGAACGTGCTAATATACTACTGAAAGCTAATAATGTCATCATTATGCAACTATGAAAAGTCCAGTGAAGAAGTATGGACAAGCAAACGCATGATTTTTGGGATGTTGTCAAACAGAAAAGAAACTCTGATACTTACAGCTGAACAATACTTTGTACTCAACCACATCAACAAGTGATCGCTAGAAAAGGTCAAGATGATCCATTACTGAAGGGAAGTTGATAATTAACAGAGTTATTACAATCAGAGGAAAGAGTACAAGTCTAACAATAAAAGTCAAGGACAAAACAGAACAAAGCTCTTAACAAGTACAAAGTCGGGATCTTTTCCGCCATCTGAAACATTCCCATCTTACAATAATTAACACCACATTACATAATACATTTAGTTTTACAACTACCATCAGTTTCAACTCTAATCAACAAAGTCACCAGTGTACTCTAAGCCAATCAAATCAACGTTCAGAAGAAAGCTCTACTTCCATAAAACACTCGGGAGCTGGAGTTCTTAGATGCTGGTGATTTCTGATCCGAACTTGAATTCCCAGAACTGGTAGGCCCACTTTCGTAGTCCATTGGAAGCTTCATCTTGGCCAATGACTCAGTAAACTGCTGCATGCTCTTCATGTACATATCCACAATGTCCTGTTGCACCACCTTCGACTCTTGTTCAATGTTTACGGTGACAAGAGGCTTTATAAATTCATTAGTTGACATGCCACCTGATGTATTGCTCCCAGCATCTCCATCATCAGCATTTTTCTCCTTCAGATCATCCTTAGGAAAGGAGACATATTCCTGGTTTGGAGATTTAGAATCTCTGTGGGTCTCAGAGGACTCAGAGCTCGGAGGAAGTGAAACAGATGAAGTTCCATTTGTTGATACGCAGCTAGGAGGTGAATCATGCTTGGGGAATAGAGTGGAACTGATGGTGTCGGTCAAGAAACTTTCCGTGGGTTGAACCCCTACATCTGAGCTTATCTGATTTTCAGTATCGGAAGTAACCAGGCTCTCTGAACTCTCAGAGTCCTGATTGCCACATTTGATCCCAAAATACTCAGAAACCATTTGATTATTCTCACTCACTACTTTAGGATCTGGGAATTCAATTTTTTCAAAGTCATCCGTTACAGATGTGGGTGATTCTTTATCCTGCACTACTGCATCAGTAGCCACAGACGTGGGTAGAGCAGGAATTGGAATCACATCAGGCGCCGCTCCAACATAAGAGAGGGATAACTGAACAAATCCGGCAGGGGAGTGGAAGAGATCGGTTGAGGAGAGGGGAAATTCTTTCTCTAACTTCCCACTGTTGAGAAGGACTTCAGACAAAGGCACCAAAGCAAACCCGAGCAATTGATCTTCAAGATAATTCCTCACCCTGCTTAGCATCCATATCTCACATTTGAGAGAGGAATAAACCTTGTGAACATTAAGTCGGAGACTCTCATTGAAGATTGGATTTCTTCCACCACCATTAATGATTTTGGTCGAGACAGCATCTTCAGGATCACTAGTGAGGCAAAGTTTAGCATAAACATCTTGCTTTTGGTAGATGCAAATGTTATGGATGTCCCTAGCCTGGTGGATGTAAACCTCCAAAATGCCGAGGAAGTCCTCTTGGTTTGAGCTTATAGCTTCTTTCCTTCCAAATACAGTTCCTCTCGATAGGCAGCCGGCATTCTCTACGAAAAGGTTAGTGTTTTGCTTCTCGGACTCAGGATAAACAGAAGAGCTCTTCAGTGGCGACACAACAGATTGAGGAGAATCCATGGCAAAAACAAGATATTAAACCCTGCAAAAGAACTGAATATCAACGTTAAAATCGAAACTCGTAGTATACTCTATGTCAGTAGAATCATATTAAGTACTACCCAGAAACGTATGCTTTTACAAAAGATTAGACCTGAAAGTTGAAACCAGAAGCAATCACAGCTCAAGATAAGAAATTTATATGTAATTAAGCACATTTCGGAACCAAATCCACAAAAGCAGACGTAGAATCAGAAGAAAAATATGAATACCTCAATAATTAAAAAACCAGAGCTCACAATTCCTAAGGTACATGTAATTAACCCTATAATAATGAGAAAGACAAATACCGAATAAACCGAGCAAAGGGTTCAATTGAAATACAAATCATACTCTTATAATTCTGAACATACAAAAAAGGTTAAGCCCAAATACGGTAACATACAATAAAATTCGGTTGTCTCGATAAATAAATAAATAAAACCTCACCAGCTGAAACCTCACTATCCAAAACCCAGGATTCCAATTCAGTAGCAATAACAAATAATTCTTGAAATAATTTGTTCGTTCAAAAACCCTAAATAGAGTCCGCACAAGAACAGCAACACAGATCTCAAGAGAACAAATTCATGTTCAATACATCAATCAAGAAAAAAGAAAAAGAAAAAGTAAAGGAGAAATCAAATCAACATAAAAGTTAAAGCACATTTCTTGCCTTTTAACTCCAAAGTCAAACAAATTTTCTGCAAAAAATCCGCTTATAATCCAACAAACGACCCTGTTCTTAAACCGAGGCAATTTTCAAGATGACACAGTGCTCAAGAATCAGTACAGCACAAAGAATGAAAATTTGGGAGTAATCATGGATTGAAGCCTGTCGGAAACCTCTGACTGTGTGCACACTGTTGGAATAGACAAGTATCATTGCTGCTTATGGCGGGCTACAAATAATAGAATAGAATTATTGTTATACTAATCACATATGACAAAACTGTCATTCAAGCTAAATTCACTTTCTATCAGAATCCATTTGTACTAATTTTATATTAATAGAAAAATCCAACTTCACCCAACATGTTTAGAGTTCATTTCTTCTGGTAGAAAAGTTTATAAGAAAATTTAGGTTAGTGTTTTTTTTTAAAGTATTCTTAGTCAGATAAAATATTTTCAGAAAATTATCTAAAAATGTTTAAAAATAATTTTTTAATCTCGAGCACTTATTGATTTTATAAAAACTCTGTCAAAGTGATCATTAATCGTACTTAAAAATGGCATTTTTAACTTCATCTTTTCTAAATAGCCGCTTTTCGCGATGGCCAAATATGCTTGCATTTTAAGTACTGTTTGGTACTCATTTTTTTCAAAATATATTTCTCTTTCTCTTCTTTTCAATCACACATTATTTATTAAAATAATATTACACGTAAATAAAAAAAAATTTCTTATTTTTCAACCACAAATTTTCCATCAATTTACTATTCTAAAATACATTTTTATATGAAAATAGATATCTAACACCTTCTTAGTTAACAAAAATGGTTTGTAATCATAGTTTAGTATTTTGTGATAATTTATTTAAACTGCATGAGGCGGGTGAATGGGATTATTAATTAATTTTGAGATATTTTAATGTAACTTTATTTTGTGGGGTTAGTTTTGAAGTGACAAGTCCAATGAGAAGATGGGTGAGTGCGATTTACAGGTGGGAGTTGGGTAGTGGAGCGGCATAGCACGTTGTGTCCTATTTTCCTACTTTTATGGTAAGCTTTCACATTGTTTCTCAGTATAGTCTATTACACTTTTTTTTTTTTTTTCCAATTTCAAGGAACTCAAGATTACTTGACTAGATAAATAGAGAAGAAAAAATTGTGACATGTAAGTTTGTGGATGAATATTGATATTGATATTCAATTTAAGTTTTTATCATTGTTGTGGCCGATCTGAAGTCCACATTGTATCTGTTGAAAGCATCCCGTTAACTTAATCAAAAGAGCTTGTCTAAGGAAAGTTTTTGCCATGTCAGTTCATGGACTAATTGTAATGCTCTATCGATATAGGTTAGAGTCAGATCACGAGAGACGTCTTATGAAAACATAATCATAACTCGATAGAAGAAGTGTTCATCTAGTATAGTCTATTACACTTTTTTTTTTCAATTTCAAGAACTCAAGATTACTTGACTAGATAAATAGAGAAGAAAAAATTGTGACATGTAAGTTTGTGGATGAATATTGATATTGATATTCAATTTAAGTTTTTATCATTGTTGTGGCCGATCTGAAGTCCACATTGTATCAGTTGAAGGCATCCCGTTAACTTAATCAAAATAGCTTGTCGAAGGAAAGCTTTTGCCATGTCAGTTCATGGACTAATTGTAGTGCTCTATCGATATAGGTTAGAGTCAGATCACGAGAGACGTCTTATGAAAACATAATCATAACTCGATAGAAGAAGTGTTCATCGTGATGTTAGCATCGTTCAAGTTAACCAAGTAAACATTGTCTCATACTTAGATGCCATCATGAATCTATCGTAGCTGAACTCAACAACCAATAAAAAAAAAAAAAAAAAAACAAGTAAAAAAAAGGGGGGGGGGAAATAAAAAAGAAATTCCAACCTGAGAAAAATTCCAATAATATAACATCATTTATCTGCTTAAATTCTAGCATACAAAATCTTTATTCAGTCAAAAATTCATCTAAACTAAAAAGAGCGTCACACGAATTTTTGCCATCAACAATCAATGAGCACAAATCACAAATTTTCTCTAAAAGTATAGAATTGTTAAAATCGACGTTAATACATTTCAATATAAATACCTTAAATGTTTTTAAATTGGTAAATAGTAATCGAAGTTGATTACTGTATTATAATGGGTGTGCATAGGGAGCATGCCAGCATTTTTTTCTCACTTCATAATAGTATTGTCGAGATGGTTATTTTCATTTTGATCGAGTCAAAGTCTTCAATCTGTAGCTTATTTATTTTGAAAACCAAATTATTTTTGACCTTTTTGCCTTATGTTGACTTTAGCCAACTTGCTTTTGACTTTTGACTTAATTGTTCCCCTTCGGTTGAACAATTATGTAATATTAGCAATAAAAGTTAAGTATCTGTTTGGTCCCCTTTAAAACTTATCAATTTAATTTAAATTTTTTTCTCTCTTATTTTTTATCACACAATTTTCAATAAAATAATATTTCATTTAAATCAAAAACTTTTACTCTTTTACAATCATCAATTTTTCAAAAAAAAAAAAATACAAAAAAAAAACACTATTCCTCAAATTATAAATCCAACAAGGATGCATAGCAGGCTTAAAACAAGACACAAGTAGGACATGCTGAGACCGAGCTTTCCTCTACTACTCAAATGGGGGCCAAACGGGGGCTAAAGTTCGAACAAACCTGCTGTCCTTGAAGAATCTTCATTGTTACAAAACAAATTAATATCAAAATAATATTTGAGCCCCATTGGCCATTTCCAAAATACATTTTAAAATAGTATTTTGATGAAAAATGTGTGGTTAAAAAATAAGGAATTTTTTTGATTTGTTTGTAACGTTATTTTATTGAAAAATTTGCACGTATGAGAATGTAAATACTATGTTAATCGAGGGACTTAAAAAGTAAAGATGAAGAGTGTATGAGAATTCTCCTAATAGTGCCAAATACATACCCCACTAACGTAAAGGAGAAGGGATAATTAATCTTTTTATTTCAATAATTGAATTTAAATAGTCAATGGTCCTTAACTACACCTTTGAATTTCCCATATCCTACCAAATTAGACCATTGAAGATGGTTCAAGTCCTCTTTATTGCCGTTAACCACACCTTTGAATCTCCCATGTCCTACCACATTAGACCATCAAGGATGGGTCTAGTCTCTTTACCGTCCGTAACTACACCTTTAAATGTTTCGTGCCCTTTAAGGAACGATAGCTGACCAAGTACTTCTGAAAAAAATATTCAAATAAATTTTAAAAATAACTTTTTTTTGTTACAAAAGTAATTTTTAACTTTTTAAAAGTATTGTCAAACGGACTTTAAAATATCTGACAGATAAAAGAGTGTCATTACGCTTTATGACTTATGTATTATATGACTAAAAAATGATGACAAACGTAGATAAGAATTACAAAATGACTAGGTACGCAGATATTTAATAATTACAATTNGTATTATATGACTAAAAAATGATGACAAACGTAGATAAGAATTACAAAATGACTAGGTACGCAGATATTTAATAATTACAATTTATATAGAATAATATTATCTTATACCAGTGGTATTAGAGCACTAATTTATATAATATATTCAATTAAATGTGAAATTATATAATTAATTTAATTGTACATTTCATTTAATGACATTTAGTGCTACGCAGACTGATGTGCCAAATAACATTACTCTTTATATTACATGATTCTCGATAATTATTAAGTAATGACTCGATACAACTATTGGTTGAGGCAATGATCAGCATGCAAATCTTGTTTTATTTCATTATAATTAAGCCCGCAAATCTTGAATCTTTCCGACATTTATTAATAAGTAATTTTTCTTATGTGAACACGGTTTTTTTAACCTTTAATTGCACCAAGAGGTGAATCAATGGTGTATTTGACTTTGTTGTTGCCTTGCATGTCTCTTTCAATTACTTAACCCAACAATGCAATTCTTTTTCTATATAGAAATGGATTGTTGAGTACTAACTTACTCTTATCTTGGTACAAGTTCTTTTTTATTTGATGGATTTTTTTGAAAACAAGATATTTTATAAGGATGATGACTTCATTAGGTCATAGATGACTACTCTAATAATGCATTCACTTGATGTGAACTAGTCTAATGCTTTCACTTGATCCGCATCAAGTGAATTCACTTTGTAGCGAATAAGAATATCCCACGTATTAGAATTAGCGAAAAAAGGTAGGTTCATGTTAAAAAAATTGAAATAGAAATGGTAATAGAATGGGGTTAGCATGCCTCCTATTTATGTCCCGTCGAGAGATATTCAGGAGGTGGAGGTAGGTTAGGAGAATTTGAATTAGGAACTCTTCGCCCTAGCTATGATTACCTAATGAGATGGGATTCACCTCATTTGGGTTGGACAATGCAAGGTTGAACGAGGTATTTTGCTATCATTGAATTATAATGTTTTGAAAAATTAAAGTTGAGTAACCACCTGTAAATATTTAGTGGAACAAGTTAAAAATAAAGTATTGGATCATTGCAAAGTAGAAAATTTATCTTCAAAAGTCAAGTATACCTTTGTATCTGTATTTTTTGTTACAATGT